AGACCTCCACAAACCGCAGTTTCCGACAAAACAACAAGAATCCGTAGACAAGTCATCGCAGACAACTTACTAAACAGCTTGTAGAACGCAGGGCGGGAAACCACTTTTTCACCCATGTTTTAAAAATGTCTGGTATTTTCCCCCCGTAAAGCCACAATTGCCGCCAAAATACGATGCTTACGTGCATGTGGCGGAGCGCTACACCGCCCCAACCACGCAGGATCAATAAATTTCACCTTTCTTTCCAAAATCTTCCGCCAAACCGTTACGAAGCCCTTATTGCCGCCAAAGGACAACGATAAGGATGCATGCCCATCATCGCACAGAAACCGCTAACAGCGCAGAAAAACGTCAAAATGTTCACCATACCCTCCAAATATTGCGAAAATTGCTGTATGTCCTGCTGTCCCCAAAATACCTAAAAATGTCCCGCTTTGACAAGACAAAAGCGTAGCAGCAAGCAAGAAACCTTGTCGCCCCCGCCATAATTGTAGGTCCGTAATACCGCACGTGTATTGTTTCTAGCAGGAACGGAACAGCAGCATGTACCGGTTGAAGAACCTGACTACGGTCCCCATATGGGAACAAATTCAAAGTGTGATGGATTTACTAATGGAAAAGGGATTTCTTAGTAACAGCCAAGATTCAGGAGTGTGTGACGAGTTTTCATTGATTTCCAATATATTACAGCTCAGAAAATAACAGAATGGAACTCTGAGAACATTGTTGCTGAAAATCGTTGGATGGAAGTATTCAAACACTTTCACACTAATAACCTCAAATACACGAATTTTCGTATAATAATTGAGTACATTTTATGTCTGCCTGGCAGTAACGTTCTAGTTCAAAGAGTGTTTTCCCATATGAATGAAGTATGGACTAGCGAAAAAACACAATTAGGAGTCCCAGTGTTAAAAGCCATTTTGATAACAAAGGGTAACATCAACAAGTCATGCCAACAATTCCATTCATATTTAAAAAGTAAAGCTCTGATATATTAAAGAAAATTTGCTCATCCGAAAAATATAAAAAGCCAGCCCACCAAACAGCACAGGATTAGTTCTTATTTTCATTTTTAATCATTACACATTTCATAAGTAGGTACCAATATTATAAAATATTATTTATAAAATATAATATTATAATATATTGAATATACAGGGTGATTCACAACTTATCCAAAAAAATTTGGGATATCGTAAAAGAAAATTGTAAAATCCTTATAGTTTCTGAGAAAAAAATTATTGAAGTTATAGTACATTCAATGACTACATAGCTGGACAACTGTAGTCTTTACGTCATTCGCAATGTGCGTGGAGAGCCACGTGGCCTCAGCGACTCCGAATACTGAAATCGGATTTTGCAATCGTTGCAATAGTATTTACCTGTTATATGTGGTGTTTACAATAGTTATTTTAGTAGTTAGTGTCAAAAATGGGTAGTTAGTGTCAAAAATGGTTTGCGTGTATAGCAACTCGGAGTTGATGGATATCGTTTTAATTTATGGTGAAGCATTTGTGATATGGTGAAGCAAGACAACATTTGTGTTAGTTCGTAGAAACTGAGTAAGACGGACCCAAATGTGTTTACACGTTGGTGGATAAAATTTTGAACAATTGTTGTTGTAACATCGGGTATGTCAAATGATTTTATTATTTAAAAACAAATTAATTGTATTAATTAATAGAGGCAAAAGTAGTTGAATTTGCCGATATAAAATAAGTGCGATAAAATTCTATTTACATATTTCTTTCCTTGCGAAAGTTTTTGTCCGTTTTTATCACACCGCCATGCCGGTCGCATTGTGCGAGGTCAGGTTTTACAGTGGACCAGTTTCCAGTGCCGTGCAGAAGTGTATTTTTAAATCATTTTCGAACTGCCCTTTTTGATTTTTTCTTTACAAAATTGTATTTGTAAGGGTCCTCTGTATATCCAGATTTTTATTATGTTTCTGAATCACCCTGTATATTAAATGTAATAAGGTATAATAAAATATTATTCGTAACTATAGTATAAAACGTTTTATTTTTAATTTAACAGTAATAATTTTAAGGGCGTCCCGCTCTGAGGTAAAAAAATAAATGGTCACGTTACCTAAGGGTCAACATTAATCACAGTAATTTTCAGAACCCTAACCCTTTGGAGAGGCCCGCCATCGGTAAAGGAATTAGAAGACCTCTCCTAAAAAACCTAAAAATCGGCTAAAATTCTTCATTTATTGGATTCAAGTCACAAACTCAGACTGAATTTATAGCTTGAAGACTTCGAAATCCGTGCATCCTATATTCTAGACAGATAACACTAGTCAACAAGGGTCAAGAAGCAGACACAGTAATATCCCTGAAAGATTTTGGTACGGTGAATCTGAATCTGGCCGCAGAATTGCTCTATCACGTCAGGTTTTTGAGATATCCTAACCTAAAAGTGCAAAAAACACTGTTTTTCGTCATATTTGAGGTTATGTAGTAATGCCATCTATTCTTAAAAAAAAAAAACAAAAAATACATATAATTTAAAAGTACAAGGCTCCCTCTTTCGAATGCCGTTGAGTTTGCTCAAATATCTTTTTTTTTTCGTTGAGATATCTCAGATATCACATGTTGAAATTTCTAAGTTTATCAGTTTCTTATTATGCGAAAATCTACTAAGGATCCCTCAGACGACAAACAGTTGATTGCAGTTCAGAAACTTCATACTCAGAAACCTTCAATACAAAAGAACTCAAACTCACAAACTCCAAATCCACAATCGCTAAACCCACAAACCCCAATCCTCAAACCCCAATCCCACAAAACCCGAACCTACAAACTCCAAGCTTACAAACCCCAAGCCGACCAATTTTAAATCCAGAAACCGTATGGGTATGAAGTTTCTGAATTGCAATCGACTGCTTGATGTCTAAGGGATCCTTAGTAGATTTTCGCATATTAAGAAACTGAGAAACTTAAAAATTTCAAAAATTTCAACATGTGATACATATCTCAACGAAAAAAAAAAGATATTTGAGTAAACTCAACGGCGGAGGGAGCCTTGTACTTTTAGATAAAATGTATTAGTTTTTTGAAAAAGAATAGATGGCATTACCTCAAGTATGACGAAAAACAGTGTTTTTTGCACTTTTAGGTTAGGATATCTCAAAAACCTGACGTGATAGAGCAATTCTGCTGCCAGATTCGGATTCAGCGCACCTAAATCCTTCGGAAATATATATTCAAGTTTATGCTTCTAAAAAAAAAATTAAATTTTGTTGGTTTGTGTAATTGATAAGAACTGATTTAATAGACCATGAATTTAAATTCATAGCCCACGGATACTGCACACAATATTCGCCCAATACTGCAGATATACCCTGGACATATCAAGACAAAATCTGTTCTTAACCCCGCAGTTCCTGACAAATACCAAAAATCCTCTACTCCCCAAAAGCCCAAAATAAATTTACCATTGCTTTAAATTTATTAGATTCGTCTTTGGATACGACCTTGCAAGCAAAAGATTCTCGCTGCAATCATGATACATCGTAACTCTATGAATACAGCTGCGAATGATTCGGGAAAATCAGCTAGGAAACAACACTTAAAGGTTGCAAGTAAATTAAGACAGCAAGATCTTACTAATTGTAAATTTGTAGCAGATTTCAGGGCATAGAAATTTTTTGTATCTATCGGGAACTGAAGGATTACAAGACTGAGTTTCTTATAGTACATGATTCTAAAATATTATACACATATGATTGGAATTTGTAATTCCCAGTAGGGAAGTAATTTTCTATAAAGAAATAATAGAAAACTTTTGGCCTCGTAAGGTTTTCCGGACTTGTTAATAAACACCAAGTCATTTAAAAAAAATGTGAAGGAGGTACTACAACATAAGTTAACAAAAAGCGTGATTTTAAGAATAAGTCCAAATTTTATTGTTAAGTAAAAGAAATGATGTAACGCTGAATGTTCCCCACAATGCGTTTACACCTATTAATTATTCTTACAGAAATAAAACAATAGATACACCTCTGACGTTACGTTGGTGGTTTCTGTCAGCTCCGCAAAAGGAATTACAAAATGGGCCGTAGGAAATCATGATGACATAACGTTGTACACAATGCCACAACAGCGTTACGGCCTTTGACGTGTTCAAAAAGAATCATAAAACATTAAGGCGAAATTCATTCATGATGTATTTTCACATTATGCTAATGTGATGTGTTTGTTTCCTACTTGTCGATTGTGCCAATACAAATGAGTTGTGGGGCGCATATTGGTTTTGATGCATTTCGTTTTATTTAATATACATATAATGATAACTTCCAACATAATGATGATAAAACAGTAACGTCAATTCAATGAAATTCAAAATGAAATGAATCACGACAATCAAAATATGAACCATTCATTATACGAAGATAATTAAAAATCATGAACTCATAAAATATTTCTATGACATTTCAACTTATTTGTAATAGATACAGAGTGATTAAATGCGTGTGTACAAAGTCCGAGGATATAAAGCTTCGAAAATGTTGCAAGAGCCTTACGGGGTATTGAAGTTAAACAAAAATAAAATGTGTTTGAGGGTAGCTCAGAAACATATTATACAGAGTGTAATTTTAAATGGGGGTCATTTTTATATGGAGGCTACCTTTGACTTTTAGAAAAACTTATCATAAGTTTGATTTTTAAAATTTCGTTGTGCAAATTGCAATTTTTAACGTTTTTTTTTGTCGTTTTCATACCTCGCCGCTGGACAAGCCGGTGTGATGAACGGCAGCGCATGCACACTTGGGAACTGCGGTATGCATTGTTATAAAATCTCATAATTTAATGTAAAGGTTATTAATAACAGATTTTATAAAAAAAAAATAGCAAAAACGAAAATTTATTTCTTTTAAATAACATAAACTATGAAACAGTACTTAACAAGTACTCTAGGAAAAAACTCGAGCAGTAATCGACATTGATAAATGAAATACACAAGAATAAGTAAATAATAATCTATTTACTCACCTTACTTTTACAACATCTGATACACGTGAAATCTTGTGGCTAATCTTGGTACTAGGATCCTCTTCCACGCCATTTAAAATTTCAGGTTTCTTACTCTGAGTTTGTTCCCGTCCAAAATTAGCGTATTGTCGTCCAAAGCTGCCGTAATCTCTTAAATGTTGAAATAATCTTATAAAAATTTTCTTACTCGGTACTTATAACTTGGGATAATCTATCTAATATCATCTTTTTGCAACAGCATCATTTTCTTCTAACAAAAAGTAGACTTTGGCAGCATCGGGTTTTCAGAGACGGCAATTATAAAATTTTAATAAAACCTCTTCTGCCCTTCGTAAGCGTTATGTTTTCAAAATCGAAATTGAAAATGTACCCTCAACTTTCCTCATATATTTTCGCAGATAATTTGACAACTTTGATTTTATCATAAAGATAGGTTCTTTCTTTTTCTGTTGAAATTGTTTATATTAATAACGCTTCTTATTTTATTTTCAGTCAAAAAATAATAATTTTGTGAATTATGACTATCAAATTTGAATCTCTGTAATTATTATTATTTGAAGAGTATTATACTACATCATTTCAAAGACTGTTTATAATTTGCATATACCTACACATTTTTTGCATATTGCGCATTGACCCCAAGAATCTGTGGCAGTTTTATGTACACGGAATATTGTATAGGTACCCTATATTTACTAACTCAACTTATTGAATTTTAAGTGTCAATATCCAGAAATATTTAGCACATAGATAAAACAGAACATGTAATACAATATGTGACAATATATTACTCAACACATCTAAAATGTAGTATCTACGTTTATATTTATAATCGCTTGCGTGTGAATCGTATATTACAGGTTTGTAATTTGTTCGCATGTCATTATGTAAAATGTATTCTTTTGCAGAAGACAAGAATGACTAAGTGTATAAGTTTAGGGTAATCATATGTTTAGATTTTTTTACTCAAAAATATAAAATACATAACAAACATCTATAAAGCTAAATATTGCACACATTTCTCAAAAATAGTTCATTGCGTAGATTGGTAAAAAAAAGAAATGCTGTCATCATATATTTCTGACAATACTGACGAGACAAGTTGATATTTTTATTTATTTCCAATATCTGCGACTTGTCTGTAGTCACGTAACCAAAAGCCCTTAACATCTGCGATGATACACCCCACGCAATAATTTCCCTGTGACACTGTTATTATAGAACGTACACTGAAAGAAATGGGCTTATTAAACTGTTTATCTAGAATAATGTGTATAGCGCATATTAAAACTTTTATAACCAATATACAACTTTTATTAAAAAAAAGCAATCATCTCCATACTCATTATTCAATCAGTTTAACTGGAAGGTGCTTAATACACCTTATGCATCTATGAAATACAGGTTATAATGAATTACTTATACATTATTAGGTGTTATAGACTTTATATTTCAGTTGTATAGTAGGGAAGATTTGTTGTATAAAGACCAGTATCCGAATTTGTATATAACAATTGTATTAGCAGAATTATTCGTTCTTATACTGAATATGTTTCCGTTTTTAACGTGTAAAACGCATCTTATAATGGTTAAGTGATCGTCACCTCTCGGTGCATAAATCGGTTATGATCGTAAATTTTCCGACAGTCCGCTGTGCATCGACTTACACACGTCTATAGTTTGATGAAAATGGACAGTATATGCACATGTTTTGTGGGATACATGATCATATCGTGTTGTGTGAAATGGAAAATTATTATGTAAGTATCTAACTGTTTTATGGCTTGTAATTGTTTTGTTTTTTCAAATGTAAATCTTGTCTAAATCTTAAAAATTATTTTGTAGGTCCTATTTGAAATCTCTGATGTTAAGTTTTACATAAGATGGAGGAACAGAAGGTTAACGGTGACAAAGAAGACCATGGGTATAAAGTCAATCAACCAGAGGAAATAAAATTAAATGGAAAGAAACTCAACCTTTCTGGGGATGCTTCATTCTTAAGGTGGAAGAGTTATAGTGCAAATTCTCATGTAATACAAGAAAATACGGGTGCATCGTTGCTAAGAAAATAAACTGGACAGTTTTGGGAGTGATTTGTCATCATTTTTAATGCTTAAAAGTATGTTTTATGTATGTTTACATTAGAACCTTAGCTTGTAATTACAGTTATCCAATAAAATTTCTGAAAACTTAATGACATATGTTTTTAACTCATACATAGTATACAACAGTTTAATACATTTATTATTATAAAACTTATAACCAGTACTAACATAATAACGATATGGAACACTTTAATAACAGTTATTGCTATTATTTCGTAAAGGGTATAAAAAACGTATACTAGTTATACAATAATTTAATAAAGAATAAGGTTTATAGTCACTATACAACTGTGCTAGCAATACGCGTTTTATATCCAATATTCACCTGTTTAACTGTTACATATGGTATACAATGGTCTTATAATGGTATATAGAATTCTAATAAAGGATAAAACGCCTTTCTTTCGGTGTAAGTATTGGTACTGATGTATGAGGGAAAATCAATTTTTTGTGATTAATTTACAACATTAAATAGCGTACAGCAATCAAGTTCTGTTTTAAAGCCGGTAAAACAGCCACGAAAACGTATCAACTGTTCCTGATAATGTGTCTTGTGGTTTTTCCAATTTTTTCTAACCTCCTCTTCAGTTGCAAACAAGATATGTCTCTTGATTTTTTTTATTTGAGGATTAGTTTAACACTAAAATGCCATTTTGTTAATATTGATGTGTCCAAAAATTTATTTAATTTAAATAGTTAAAGTCATTTTGGAAATTGTTTCGATAGTTGGTTACGTTATTGCCTAATACAATATTTTTTAAACTGGAAATTATATGTCTCTTACAATGAGGTTCTCCCTGAGCCATCAATATAATAATATAATGGCGCGTTCCTCTTAAACAACCCTCAAATGAGAAAATACGAGCAAATATGTTTTAGGGGACAGAAATAAAATCCGTTTCAAAAGGTCTCCAAAATGCCATGTTGTAATAATATTAGTAAACCTAATATCCCTCTTATATCTCCCTTTCGCCATGGTAATATGAATGATTAATAGAAGTTGCCTATAACAAATTAAAATTACTTGAATCACACCAAATTCCGCATTGCTGCATTGCACTGCCAGGCGACTTGTCGACAACTGAAATTTATGAGGCAGTCGACCAGAGCAACAGTGCGTAACACCGTCTGCCCGCCGCACGCCTATCCCTCAACAGGGCGTATAGATTTCTACCACCTGTACGTTTAGTTCGACCAGATCTGTATATGGGTATGGCTAAATAAATATTGGAACAAGTTTTTCAAATATTTCAATGCCGAGTTGCTACATCAGCGATCGAACCTGGTACATACTGTCATCCTCTTGGTTTTTCAATTGATATCGAAAAGACTATACTTTAATGATTTATTCAATATTTCAATTTTCAACTATCTATTTCCTTTGTTTTGTTGAATTAACATCGTATTGTCTTCTCAACCTGCAACTGCCCTTTGGCTGTTGGTTGATGTGTCAAAAAATAAATAAGCAAATAAATAAATAAAAACTCTTTATGAAAATATGATCATTTTAAGTAGGAAAAAAAACTTTGGTTGCACTTCTAGTACGCAGTATTTGTGTTAATGGTGCGTATCTACGGGCAGCCTATTTTCAGCCGTCCCGCAGTTGTCGTAAACCGGCAAGCCGTTTAGCATGCATGCTGTTCACTTTCTACACTTACTAATTGAGATTTTATCTAGAGTAATCGTTCATGTGCGATGATAAATCTTGCGCGATAAACGTCAGATCTGCCGATACGGTTAGCAATCCGGCCATTATTTGTCATTTTTATTCGTTTTCCCTTCCAGGGTTGAGCATTAAAATAAGTGAAAAAAGCTATCGTCTCTCGACTGTTCTCCGATGCATTATTTATGATTTAGATGGAATTTGCTGGAGGGACGTACATTATTTCACTTATTGTTAATGCGGCAATTTATTTGCACAGCTTGAGTTAAATTGTCGATAATTAATTTTATGAGTTATAGATTTCTTCCTCTGTCGTGAATGAAATATGAGATTATTGATATTGGCTGCAAATATATAGTCACGTTTTAATACCCTCCTCTTTATAGTTTATTTCATATCACTTGGCTCAACGATATTGGTCTTCAATACTTCTGAAATTATTAAACTTTGCATAATAATTTTGTTCGAATGACACAGTGTTATGAAACTAAATTATACTTTTCCTTCCTAAGCTAATTAGGTAATTTAATAATGTTACTATAAGATTTGCTAAAGAAATAAGTCCATATGCATGTTAGTAGTTAATATTAATCACATACGCACAAAAGTGGTATCTGGTCTTTTCAAGTTGCCAAAAACTACCCCCACGATATTCGCCTATGTTTCGAATTCCAGCAATATTTCTATCAAAGAAACATATATGACGCGATTCCCGCTACAAAATAGGAATGTCAAGCATGGAGAATAGTTCCAATTGCACAAAAAATCACCGATGTTTCGAAATATCCACCGCTGAACTGCCCGGATGCGAAGATCAACCCCGAGAGTCCTCCGTTCCATCGAAAGTGTACCATTCCATCCCTCGAGGTCGCCGACGAGAACTAGGAGAGGAACATTTTTCGACACACTCTCGAAAATTATGAAAATTTCCACATCCAGATGATCTCAAATTCACACTCTCACAATTCCTTAGGGTAGGCATTAACACCTTTAAGTTTCTTTCCTACTTGCAACTTCACAGAGACGGCCGTACGAGTCAAGGGCATGGTTTTTACCGACCAGAAAGTGCCGACACTAAACCGGACTGTACAATCGGATCCACTCCGACGGCGATCGAACGTCAACTATGGGCTTTTGTAGGTATTTAACCAGGACACAATGGCGGAAGGCCATAAATCTCAGTTTCTGTCTTTAACGATCACAAGGCCCGACGTCAAAATGGAAACATATGACCCATTTCACCAGCGAGCAGGTGTTGATACGTCCCTTCCGAACCCATTATGAGGGTTTACAACCCCTTCATGATGCTGAGGGGAAAAGAAAATAGGCCCACTCCACCGAGAGCTAACCAAAACAAGCAAAATCCTCGTCATGGCGCTCAAGGTTGGGCCATGACAGATGAGCGACAACCAGGATAATTCAAACCGCGATATGGAGCGCAACGTGGGGCCATATTGCCAGGCTATCAAGACACATATTTAAAACTGAAAAAGCAGCGAAAAATGTACATTTAGTAGACATTTGCAACCTTTCAGGTTTGGGTGAACACCATACAATCACCCCAAAACCAAAAAATATTCAAGTTACAAAATCAAACTACGAATTTATTGCTCAGATTATTTAATAGGCCATGAACATAAACTACTAACCCACAGACACTGCAGTACGATCCACTTTAGCAGCAACATAACCTACGATCAGTTATATGAAAGAACGAACCCGCTACTGCTGCTTTTTTCTTTATAATCACCTCCTACCGAAGCCCAATAACGTATTCATCATCTGATGGCATCGTTATACTGTCTCTGTATATCTGTCTCTAGCATCTCTGAAAAAATATATGTGATATAAAAAATTCGATGGGAAGTAAGATACAAAATTCTAAAGACTGCATATACAGCATCTACCTTGTGAATATAATTAGGAGACCGTTAAATGTTAGAATCATAGAACAGCCGATCTGTTATAAAAGCAGAATTTCAAAAATCGAAAATTTGTGCGGGCTTGGCTAAACGGTAATTAAACACAAAAGCATGTTAGAAAAAGAAAGTAATTTCGTAAAAAAAAATGAAAGAGTCCATATTTATTTTTTCAGCTGAAAAACTCAAGTCCTGTAAACACACTTTCTGTATCACGTACAATATCTTTTGTGCTGTCGTCTATAATTTGACAGTAATAGAACTTATTTGTTATTAATATTTATGTTGAAGGTGCACTTATGCAAAGTGCAATTATTAAATGGTAATGTTCCAGTCAATTTATGAATCATAGTATTTATTTTATCAATAATATTGGTTCTGTTAAAAATTTGTTTATTTCTCGTCCACTAAAAACTTTATTTTATATCCCATAGATTTTTTCTTTAGAGCAGATATTAATTTCATTTGCTAATATCAATGTTCTTCGTGGGTATTAATATTTTTTTTTGAGAATTGAATATACAGGGCTGGAAAATTCACATGGTCCATCTGCCTTTACATGAGAGCGACAAAGTAAAGTAAAGAAATCCGTGCGATAGACAAGGATGGCTATAGTGAAGACGTTTCATAATCTGAATAGTCACCGCCCGTTTCGGATTAGAAGTGGGAGTGACTATTCAGATTATGAAACGTCTTCAATGTAACCATCCTTGTCTATTGCACGGATTTCTAGGACTTACTTTATCGCTCTCAAATAACGGCCGATGTACCATGGGAACTTTCCCAACCTGTAGACTTAATACGCTTGATGTCTGTGTTTGATTTTTCAATTACCAGCTACTTCTTTAATATCGAATGGAATGTTTTCTTCACCACTTCCATCGCTATTCATCTTTAAACGATTTAGTTATAATAATACAAGTGTCAAAACGTTAAAAGCTTCTGCTGCAGACAGCTCTGATACATACCTACCTTCTTTTTAATGCAAGTTTTGATGTAAGAGCTTGACAAAGATACTAAGCTGTTATATTATATATCCTTTCCAATCTAGATCAACTACGCACTTTCAGATTTAAAAAGTTATCGATAACATTGTCTCGATCGACAGTACAAAAATGTGTTTTACATTTGAATTTAAGTCGATTTAAATTTTGAGAACGAAAACTGGGAACTTTTCGAAACGTTAACTGTGTAGTGGTTATTATGCAATCGGAAAGAATGTTCAACTTTCTCAATGATGATCAACTAAATTTATAAAATCAACCGCTTGATTCATCCTTTTCGTGCAAGGGGTTATCTATTTAGGATATTTTCTTTTCAATGTGACAGAAATACCCAATTAAATTGAAAGAGTTACAAAAAATGCGACAAAGAAATAATTACAGACTGCACCTCCATTTGTGAGAGATGAATGAATTTTCCCGCGGCATAATAAGAGGTCTATGTATTATTTGTAAAATTTCAGCAAAGTTTTTATTAAAAACAATTAATCAATTCAATGGACAAATACAAAAAGAGTAAAACGAATTGTAGGAACACATTGTTATTATACTGAACATAAATTTATTTGAAAATCTTAATTATATTGTTTTTACTTGGAAAAAAATTACATAAATTAATTGCCTCGGACTTGTCTAGTCAGCCGTGAGCCTTCGGCAAAAACCTACTTCATTCCAAGGTGCCCTTCATAAACAATTTTTTGTTGATAAGTGGGATTAAATAGCCTTAGAATTATATATAAAATGATATAACTACTGCTAACGACTTGTATAGAAGTGCAAAACAAAGATTTTAGGACGTATAATTATATATACTTATCTATAACGTGTACGGCGGTGAACAATTGAATTGGATTTCCACGAAATTTTGTAATTTTATATTCATTTCAAAAGGTTGTTGGTTTTTAAATGAAGTATGTAATTAAATCTTCATTACGGTCTGTAACTTTTTGACATAATAACGCGTATTTAAGAGCCAAAATTAGAATGTATATCAATTAATTAAACTTATAGTGCCTATGTTTATCTAAATGATCTAAACAATATAACACATCTACTTATATGCAACTTATAATTATTAAATGTAAAAAATATCATCCAAATTTATTATAATTTTATGTGTCGACTTAAATCATTGCGTTGAAGAATTATTAAAATGAATGGTATAGGAACATTTAATAGGCACCTTTACACTTACGTTCAATCGTGAGCGACCGGAGCGCCCCGTTCCAATCACACGCGAAAGCTTGTTAGTGTAAATGTATATAATCGCGCGGTTCTTAGTTGTGTCAAATCTTGCATTACTTCGCCAGTTGTTTTCATGCGGAAATTTCACGTAGGGTAAAGTTTACTTCGATTTTCACGCGGTCTTGTGGAGTTTACTCTTAAAAGGCGATAAGTACTTTTTTTAATTTTTTAATATAAACATAGCTACCTAGGATTCGCATTTTTGTAAGCGTTTTTGTATTTTTTTATAGACTATGGCAGATGCACGATATTGGTCAAAAGAAACAATTACAAATTTTATTGAGCTATATAAATCCTATCCATCTTTATGGAAGATTAAATCTAAAGAAAAAAAAAGCCACTTTTAATTTTCTTTTTTTGTTTATAATTTGCTCCATTTCAGAACAAACCGTCTATAAAACTGTTGAAATTTTTAACACTCCACGAGCCACGACTATCGCGCGAGAAACTCGACACTTTTCAATTTACACTAGCCGTGTTATCATGTCACATTTCACCGCGCAGGCAATACCGTGCGATTGGAGCGTGTCAATTTTTAACAACAAAGTTTTAGAACGCGACACTCAGGATTGCGCGAAAATACGCGCGATTGGAACGGGGGGCTCCAGTCGCTCACGATTGAGCGTAAGTGTAAAGGTACCTAATTAGTTGGAGTTCTTTTTGCTATACTGTTCTTCATGGACAGGCTTGGTAATCTACCAATTCACAATAGTCATTGTTCTTCTCGCACATATTTTTGACAGTAGGTATCTTATTTACTTGCTTCCTATAGATAAAATACAAAACGTTATTTGAATCTGGTGAAATTAAAATATAATAATAACCGATAAATCAAGAGTACAACAATGGAGGTGTCTGTTATTATAAATTTCCTAAAGATGATGCACTGATTACTACTCTGTTCCATATATCTGCACCGTACACATTAGGTATCTTTACACTTAGGCTCAATCGTGAGCGACTGGAGCGCCCCGTTCCAATCGCGCGTATTTTCGCGCAATCCTGAGTGTCGCGTTCTAAAACTTTGTTGTTAAAAATTGACACGCTCCAATCGCACGGTATTGCCTGCGCGATGAAATGTGACATGATAACACGGCTCGTGTAAATTTAAAAGTGTCAAGTTTCTCGCGCGATAGTCGTGGCTCGTGGAATGTTAAAAATTTCAACAGTTCTATAGACGGTTTGTTCTGAAATGGAGCAAATTATAAACAAAAAAAGAAAATTAAAAGTGGCTTTTTTTTTCTTTAGATTTAATCTTCCATAAAGATGGATATGATTTGTATAGCTCAATAAAATTTGTAATTGTTTCTTTTGACCGATATCGTGCATCTGCCATAGTCTATAAAAAAATACAAAAACGCTTACAAATATGCGAATCCTAGGTAGCTATGTTTATATTAAAAAATTAAAAAAAGTACTTATCGCCTTTTAAGAGTAAACTCCACAAGACCGCGTGAAAATCGAAGTAAACTTTACCCTACTTGAAATTTCCGCATGAAAACCACTGGCGAAGTAATGCAGGATTTGACACGTCTAAGAACCGCGCGATTATATACATTTACACTAACAAGCTTTCGCGTGTGATTGGAACGGGGCGCTCCAGTCGCTCACGATTGAGCGTATAAAGGTACCTATTCACTTATAAAGGGTGCTCCAAAATTCACGTAAGAAATAATTTTGATAGAAAACACAGGTTTTTAATTAAAAATTGCAATTTTTGTATTGATTCATAAAGTATACAGTATAAGGTTATGTATGGAATAGTTTATCTGGTAAATAACTTCACGGCTTAGCTGGCATATACGCACTTTTTTCTAGAAAATTTCCATGACCGTTTTGCATAAATGCAACTGAATTTCATTAATGTAGCGCTCAATTTTC